CCCCAAAACCCCAAAACCCCAAAACCCCAAAACCCCATCAAAACATGGGTTTATTGAAAAATTGTTTAGGGAAGAATTTATTAGAAAACATCTACTCCGTCTACTTTGTCGTTGACGAAACAGACTTCAACTTTCTGTTTGCATTGAGTCAAGAATGAGATCCATCATTTCTGATGCTCTGCCACTGTGTCTGTTTCTGATTTTACTTCTACAAACATAGACTCTCTGGTTTCGTCTTTCCAAAGAACAAGGTCAGGCATTCCAACTCTCCAAGTTTTAAAATCTTCTAAGTATTTCTTAACAATCTTAGAAATTATTTTCCCGCCCAAACACACACTGACACTGGCTAGCCTCTCTCTGGTCAGTTTGACTGAGTCCCAGTTGATCAGCACATTGTGAGTGTGCAAGTGTCTATCGTAAGAATCTTCAATTTCTTTCCTCAAATCTTCTGCCTTGATGTTCTCGATTACTTTGAGTCTGTCGTCAAAGATACTTTTACGTGACTGGTAGAATTCTCTCAGTCCAAAGTCAAGCGGTCCAAAGTGATACGGAGTCTGGTACACATAAGGCACTTTCTCAAAGTAAATCTGGTCCCAGAACAACAGCCCATAGAATGTCTTGAACAAAGTGTTTTCAACATGCAAACCATACCAGCCTTGCTTGCCATAGAACTTGAGCGCAAGGTTTTCCACAGTTACGAACTCAGTGCCCTCCGAGTCCATGTACACGATTCTGAGCTGCTGGCCAGTGTAAGCTCGTCTTCCTCGGATGTGGCGCTCAGAGTAATAATCTTTATCATAGAACACATCGGATGACTTTATCAGCAAGTCTAGTGTTTTCTTGCGTTCTTGCTCGATAAGGATCTCAGAAGGGTCACGGTCGTCATAGTCATTGTTGTACAGCAGTGAACAGTCTGTCATGAAGCTGCTCTGAGATTGCAGTTCCGACCCTTCATCAGTCCCATCTCGTTCCCCCTTGAAGGCTTTGTCAAGTTTGGACTTGAGCTTGCTGAAGTCTTGTCGTTGCTTTTCAATTTCGTTGAGATACTGGTCCATTTCTTTCTCGTCGTCTCAGTCGTTGTCGAGGTCACCAAGAATGTCATCTCCGATGAAGTCAGGTCTCTCAGCATTTTTGTACTTCTGTTGGGTTTTGTTGGTTCTCTTGTTGGCTTTAGTGCCGCTCTTTGTTGATGCCTGAGAACTATTGATAGAACCTGTTCCAGCAAGTTTTCTACCTCTCTTTCTACCTTTGCCTTTAGGCTTCTTTATCTTGTGAAGATCTTCAAATGCCTTGAGTCTGATTTTGAGAATTCTGTTTCTGTTGGCAGTTCTGGTTTCTGGGTCTTTTAAAGCTATTTCTCATACATCAAATGCTTCTTGTTTCCATTTCAGATGTTTGAGATTCATTATAAATCTAAACCACCAATATCCTCTTCTATCTTCTAGTTTGTCAGAGAGTAAGATTTGAGACATGACAATAAGGCAGACATCATATCTCTTGCCTTTCTCAAGGTACTTAAAGAAATCAGCCATGATTATGGTGTACATGTACTCTTTACGAAACCTCTCAAGGAAATTAGCGATGACTTTGTAATTATCAATGTTATTTCCCCCAAGTTCTTGCGATTGATGGTCTTCAAGTAGCTCTTCAAGTTCTTGCCCTTTCTTCTGAAGTTCAAGGTCATCGTAGGCTGTGTCTCCAAAAACTGGGTTATTTAATTTAAAAGGCTCGAAGATCGATGGGCTTTCTTCAACAGAAAGGTCATCTGTCTTTTGAGAGAGTTCTAAGTTTGTCTGCTGAGATTCATCTGGAGATAATTTCTCTTTCTGAGAGCCTGATTTAAATTGATTTTCTTCTTTCCTCTTCCTCAAATTCTCATACTTTCTCCTTCCAAACTTCAAACAACTCTCCCAATCAATCTGACAACACGACTCCTTTACTATGTTCATCATACCCCAAACCAGCCTGGTCTAACAAGTACTTTCACACATGTTCCACTACATCTGCGACTAAATCCTTCCTTCGAATCCTCATGTTCAGCATTTCTTCGATACATATTTTTAGAAGAGCCGCATCGTCAAAATCTATCCATTGTTGTCTCTCCTCGAAAATGGGTTTGAGGTAGAGCAGGTTTTCATCCTTGTTCATCAGATAGTTCCTGTTCCTTACAAATGTGTAGAATCCGTAGTCGTTCAGCATCAGCTGCTCGTAGGTGTCGTCTGAACTGTAGAAGAAAAAGAGTCTCAGACATCTCTGGAAGAACCCCTTGATAACTTCATTACATGAAATGCCTGCTCCTTCGTTGGCGTTGAAGAACGCTCTGCACACTTCACCTCTGAGCTTGACTCTTTGATCCATCTTGGAGGCTTCGTCTTTGGGGGTTTCATCCTTCATCTTGAAGAACTGATGAAGGTTGGTGTTCTTGACTACATCTTTCTTTTTGAGTATTTTCTGACCAGACTCTTCCATGTAGTGAATTTTACCTAGTATTTTGGAAATGATGTCTGGTTTATTAGAGTAAGAAAAATTGGGAAATGGGAGGACTTTTCTGCGTTCCTTTTTGCAGTCTTCAACAATTGCTCTTATTCACTCACTAAATTTCTTGCTCACACTGACAGCTAAAGATCTTAATTTTCCTTCAGCAGCATGCTTGAATTGATAAAATGGATTATGCTGAGTCTCATCTAAACCAAGATCAACTTTTGGAGCTGTTCTTAGTGCTCGGTTCACTTCAATATCAAATTTTTTAAGTTGATTAGGATTTAAGCTTTGAATTGCATCGGATATCCTTTCATAATCCAGTTTTTCTACAACTTCGTTGAAGTCTCTTATAAATGCATTCCTTTTTAACTCTCCAATTGCCATCATGACAGCTTGCTTGTTCTTGTTGAATTTAAATAGTTCCAGAGAACTCCACCAATTCTTGTTGTCAAAGTAAATTCTGACATAAATGCTTTTAGCAAGGGATCCTAAATTTTTGTATCGTTTGATGATTTCAATTTCGTTTTGATCGAACAAGAAATCATAACCTTTAATAGTTTCAAGAACAAGGTTGAAGTTTCTGACATATCTATTATCTTCCTCTTTAAGATTGCTCTTTATATCATTATCCTTGACTCCAAGCCATTTGAGATCTGGAGTTGGAATATCAGCAATGTTTTTAGGAAAATCAGTCTCATTTGGCTTATCCGAATCTTCAGAGTCCTCTCACTTGTATTCACTTCCTGTGTCTAAGTTTTTGTTTTGTTTATTCAATGCCATAAACGATGTCTTCAGCTTCTTGGGCATCCCTGGGAGGTCTTTGATTGCATAAGACCCTGTCTTCACATCGTACTCTCGGTGTCCTCTCAAGATCTTGGATTCCAAGTCAATGCTGATAGTCAGCTTGTTCGAACGCAAATCAGCCTGAGCACTGAAAGTGTAATAGTCTCTGTTCAAGTCCATGATCGGAGCTAAGTGGTATCCAATATCCTTGGGAACATATCCGAAGTAGTGCTTTTTCTCTTGGAGATTCCCCAGCTGCTGCACAACAGCAACCAATATGGCATTACGGTCATGTCTGTTGTCTTTGTCTCGCTCTAGGACAGTCTTAAACGCAACGTTGGAAGTGAGATACCTCTCGTTCTCCATGAAGAGATGTCTTCACACAAGGTTTGTCTCAATGACCATTGGAAACCTAAACAAGTGTGTTTTCCTTCTGCCACTGACAAGGTAGCCTCCTTTGTTGAACTTCCGCTTCTGGCCTTTGAGTGAAGGGTTGAAGTTCGAGCCAGATGGGTTGTGTTGATCTGGATTTTCACTTGCTCTTCTCATGGAAGCATACTGGTAGTAATCAATGTCATTTGTAGATCCTTCCTTATTACTTTCCGACTTATTCTCTGTTTTGGCCGCACTACTTTGAGAATCAATTGTACTAGAGTCAAGCCTTTTACTTTTCTCAGAGCTTGTCTTATTCTTCTTTTGTCCTTTATTGATAAACTTCTTAATAGATGTTCTTTGCCTTTTCTTAGGCTTTTCGTCATCCGAAAGTGTGATTACATTAGAAATATTCTTCTTATTTTTCTCTCTCCAAGTATATTTCTCCATGAAGGCATTTAAGCTTGATTGAGAGTTAGGAGCTGTCTCTAAAGAATGATATATCCTGTCTTACTTTGAGTGTTTCCTCTTCTCTTTGTCTTTCCTTCACTTATGTCCTTGTATAAACTATTGAAGTTGAATTTTTGACTCATTACGTAAAAGAATGACTCCCACGCTTGCAAGAATTGAAGTGCAGCTTGGGGTTTAAACTATTGCTGGTTCATCTTTAAAACTTTGGCCTAATATTAATTAGATTTGGGGTTTTGGGGTTTTGGGGTTTTGGGG